ATGTTTTTTTGACCTTTGACCCTGCCACAAACAGACAGACAGACGAACTATTTTAGTTCATATGACCCTCTCTACAGTCGAGAAAATAAGTCTATTTAAAAAAATGAAACAAAAATGAAGAAAAGCAATTTATTTTTAAATCAAAATGAAATTTTATATAGATAAATGTATAATTAATCAAATAATTTGAGTCCTGTTGTATCAGATTCAGTCTGTATTGAAATATTGCATTGTAAAAGTGTATTTGGCTTAAACTTTTTCATAGGAGACTCATCTTCATCGGAAGAATGAAGACGAAGTTCATCGAGTCGATAATTGTGTCCTTTTCGATGTTCACGTTCTCCAAGAACTAAAACCATGTCATCAATCAAACCAGATTGAAGTAAACGGTGAAAGTCATTATCATTTGGAAGACAATGATGTTTCTGCAATATCCATTTCTGATATTGTTCTTTTGTTGCACCTAATGGAATACGACTATTGACGATTTCTGCTGCTGATAATGATGAATGAGATGCTGAAGCCATTTCGTACAATCTGAAAGATAAAACGAAGATGTGTGGCACTTTACTTTATAGAATAATGAAGAAAAATGAATGTATTCATGCAAATGCCGTCGGTATATATTGTCCTGTAGAGAAGATGGACTTTGATCTTATACTATGAATGGATTCGTGTCGATGGCTTTTTTCTAATGGTTTATGTGAGAGAATGCTAAGAGAACGTAGTTCTAGGTATGGCCTTACAACGCACAATTAGACGAATCCACTCTTTCTAAAGTAAAAGAATGTAATGAAATTTTCTCTTATGAGAACATGTATGCTGGTATAAATACCATATCATGCCAGAGAATATCAAGGCATTGGTATTCTTAGTTTCGTGCATATTAAAATCGACAATAGAAAATGTCAAGAGCAGTACGACTACCAACTTTTCGTGCAAATCTAAATGCAGAAGTAAGCAAAACTGAATAAAACCTTTTAAATGCTATAATTTTAATTTATATTGATATTTACTTGTAGTTTGTACGAAATCCTTCATTATCCTCACATTATGTTCAAGTTATTCGCTGTATAGATCAATACAAGGCAAGTGAAGTTCCAAATTACAAATTTCCTGAATCAAATGATCAACTTCATGAAATACCAGACATTGATGATGAATCCGAAATATTTGGTGAAAAAATTATCAAAATACATAATTAAGAAGGAAATTGATCAATCAGTACCGCAGTACTATTAGAAGTCATTTCGTTATTTCAATCCTGTTGTTGGCAATAAATGATCAAAAAAAAGTAACAATAATAATAATAATATCAACGATGTATCTGTATCCAATAGCTTGTTTCAATAAATACAAACGCAATGAATCGTAAAGAATAATCTGAAGAGAGAATAACCATGCATTTCTGTATTAGAATATTGAGAAAAAGATAAAATAGAATATTTATTAAGACAGAACATGTGACTTATAGAGAAAAGTTCATTGGAGCTTCTTATTTAACAGAAATTGAGAAACTTCATTTAGATCTTTCTCGAAGTTGTTCACGTCGTTCTAAAAGCAAATAAACTTGTTGATTTCATTTATCTATGACACAATTTACTTTTAACTTTCAAATGTTTGATTTTTTCGCACTTATTTGACAACAATGATTGTTTTGGACGCTTATGGACAAGTTCTTGTGTGTTATCTCGACGGTTGCGATTGCCAACTACCATCTTCACAGCCATAGCTGGTGTGTTCTGAAATACATATTGCTATAGTTTGTGCATATCCCGTTTTAATGGACGGAACCGTTTCTCATGCGTATAATGAATAAAAAATCGATGTTGCAAATTAGTCACATTAGCCGGCATTATCGCTATTGAATCTTCGGATGACTCATTAGTTGTGTTAGCTGCGGCTTCTATACTTCTTGTTACTTGTGTTTGACGAGCTGTCGGTTGAGCCAATATCTTTTGATATAATATGAAGAATTGAGTCATCTCAGTTATCACTGGCGTGAATGCAGCTTCATTGATATATCCAACAAAGTGTTTATGGAATTGATCGTCGATATATATTGAAGAATAACTAAAAGAAACGTTGATAATTATAATTTTAGATCTTTCCTATATTTAAGAGGACAATATGTACCCATTATAGAGAAACATCAGTTTGATTTGATTTTTCTCTTGATTAAAGACTTCAAATGTTGATGAATATCGAACTGCTCTAGCTAGTGCAGTCTGAATCATGTTGGCATAGATGTATGGATGATGATCAGATGTGAATGGCAATACATATGGTTCAGTAGTTGGCTTATGATAAACAGATGTTTGAAGGATACCATTATTATTAGTTAGAAGTACATCCAGAAATGGAAGATTTTGACTAATTTTATAATCTAATTTGATATTTGGATGCCATTGATTAGCTTCAAGCAATAATTCTCTTAGTTGTTGTTCAGATTCATTCCAAGTCATCAAGATATCATCGATGTATCTAGCATGAATACATAAAATATAAATATTCTTTTTAAATACAATAATTCTTACCTGCCAAATAATTCACCAGTAATATCTTGTTGACGAACTAATTCTTTTTGCCATTTCCACATGAATATATTAGCCAATGTTAAAGTAAATGAAGAACCCATTGCACCACCTGTTGTCTGTTGATAGATTTTGTCGCCATAGACAAACACATTTTCTTTGATGACGATAAGTGCTAATTTTCGAATTGTATCAAGAGCTATTCCTTTCACTTTTCGATAACCATGTACATGAAGAAATTCAACAAGAACATTCAACGATTCATCTTGAGGTAACATTGTATATAAATTGTGAATATCAAATGTGCAGAAAAGAGTAGATGGTTTGCAAGCATCCGTTCTAACATATCGCTTCATTCGTTTGATTAAATGTGCACCATCAATAATAGTTGTCCTATGACATTTATGATCAAATATTGGGCGGATCATTTGATCAAGAAACTTGGGAATGTTGGTAGTTGCTGCACGAATTGTATTTTCAATGGGTCGAACAGGTATATTCTCCTACAAGGAATAGAATAGAATTCATCTAAAGATATCTGTAGTTATATAAATTACTTTATGTGTTTTTGGATTGAAATATAAATGAGATAATTCCGATTTGACTCGATCAGGCATTATTTTGTCGTATTGCCATTTTAGAATAAGATTTCTTCGAATAACAAGTATTGAGGAACTTAATAATTTTGTTTAGAAGTTCAGTCAATGGACTTTCTGTTACCTCCACATAAGCATTAGTTTCAGAAAAGAATTTTTGAGCTTTTTTATCAAATTCCTTTGTTGATTCAATATAAAAATGATGGCCTTTATCCGTAACACGTATCACAAGATGATGTTGTCTAATCTTCTTTCGAATCGATGTAACTATTTGTGCTTGTTGTTGTTGTGCTAGAATTCGATCTTTATATGGCACAGGTGCCGAATAAGATTGATAGAGATAATTCGAAAGCTGAAAGGAATATTCTTGAAAAATGGAAGCTGTTCTTGGTATTTGATAAAATTGAACTAATTACTTAGGGAAATTGTTCATAGTGTACGTACCATTTACTTCTTCAACTCCAAACGATATTAAAGGGAGATCAATAACAGCACAAGTAGAGAAACATTCGAAATACATCCAGAAAATGAATTATTCCACTGAATTAATGATTCTCCTTCATCAAGAAACATTCTCACATGCACCAACATCAAATGGAAAGTACGAGAGTATTCAGCTTTTTATTCTAATATTTTTTCTTTTCTTTTTCTCCTCCTCCATTTTAGACATTCCTTCGCGTCCATAGTCTCTTTTAGACATCGAACAAGAAAAATAATACAATACAAGGGGGAAAAAGCGGATCCTATGGGATCCTAGGATCTTTAAGGATCCGTGACACCCTAAGTTAACTTCCAGGATCCCTCAGGATCCCGCAGGATCCGTCGGAATCCATTTCATTAAAAGTCGATTTTTTTACTAAGTAAGCGAATTAATCACAGAATTATGCAGAATAAGCATAGAACAAAGTCAAGATACTAAAACTAAGATGAATTCTATTTAATTTGGCTCTTTTGGTTAATAAATTTAATGATCACCAAAGTACACCAGGATCCGACAGGATCCCGTATCATTATTTCTCTCTAAATCTCTTTATTTTTCGAAAAATCACTACGACTGTTGATGACTTATAATAAGT